CCCTCCCCTCCCCCCTCCTCCCATCTTCTCTCTCTACCCCATCTACTGTAATTCATTTCTCTCTCTTGTTTTTTTTCCCTTTCCCCTCACTTCCTCTTACATGTAATTTTGTATAACAATGAGGGTCTCCTTCCTTTACCATGCAATTTCCCTTCTCTCTCTCTTTCCCACCCCCCTCTCGACCCTGTTTAATGGTGATCTTCTTCTCATGCTCTTCCTCCCTATTCTGTTCTTAGTTGCTCTCCTTATATCAAAGATGACATTTGGCATTTGTTTTTTAGGGATTGGCTAGCTTCACTTAGCATAATCTGCTCTAGTGCCATCCATTTCCCTGCAAATTCCATGATTTTGTCATTTTTTAGTGCAGAGAAATACTCCATTGTGTATAAATGCCACTTTTTTTTTTTTAATCCATTCATCTATTGAAGGGCATCTAGGTTGGTTCCACAGTCTAGCAATTGTGAATTGTGCTGCTATGAACATCGATGTAGCAGTATCCCTATAGTACGCTCTTTTAAGGTCTTCAGGGAATAGTCCTAGAAGGGTAATAGCTGGGTCAAATGGTGGTTCCATTCCCAGCTTTCCCAGGAATCTCCATACTGCTTTCCAAATTGTCCGCACCAATTTGCAGTCTGTGGGTTACTTTTTCAATTTCCTTTATAAAAATATTTTAGTTGTAAATGGACACAATTCTTCTATTTTATTTACTTATTTTTATGTGGTGCTAAGGATTGAACCTAGTGCCTCACATGTGCTAGCAAGTGCTCTACCACTGAGCTATAGCTCCAGCCCCAAACCTTTTCGATTTCTTGATAACATTTTTTTCAAAGGACAGTTCTCAGTTTTGATAAACTTCAAATTATCTTTTTTTTCTTTATTTTTTTTCTTTCATATCTAAGAAACCACTGTCTAATCCAAGGTGTTGGAGATTTACATCTTTGTTTCTCCTCAGAGTTTTATAGCATTAGGTGATTCATTTGGAGTTAATATTGAGTTAGTGGGCCAGCATTCCTTTGCATGTGGATATCCAGTTGTCCCAGCAACATTTGTTGAAAAATGTTATTTTTTCCTTGTTGAATTGTCTAGACACTCTCATCAAAAATCAAATTTACCCTAGATGTTGGGGTATACATCTACACTATTAATTCCATATCATTAATTTATGTGTGTTCTTATGCCAGTAGTGTCTCACTTTGATTATTGACCCTCAGAAGTACTTTTGAAATCAGGAAGTATTAGTCCTCCAACTTTGAGCTTGTCTTGCCAGTTTGTTTTGGCTATTCTGGGTCTTATAAATTTCCCTATAAACTTTAGGTTCAGCTTGTCAAATTCTCTTCAAAAAGGAATTAGAGCAGGGCAAAATGTTGCATGCCTGTAATCCTAGCAGCTCTGGAGGCTGAGGAAGGAGGATCACAGTTGGAGGTCAGCCTCAGCAATGGTGAGGCACTAAGCAACCCAGTGAGACCCTGTCTCTAAATAAAGTACAGAATAAGGCTGGGGATGTGGCTCAGTGGTTGAGTGCCCCTGAATTCAATCCCCAGTACCCCCCCCCCCAAAAAAAAAAATCAGAGCTAGGCACAGTGGTATATTCTTATAATCCTAGTGACTCAATAGGCTGAGGAAGAAGAATCAGAAGTTGGAGGTCAGCCTCAGCAACTCAGCAAGACCTTAAGCAACTTAATGAGACACTGTCTCAAGATAAAAAATAAAAAGGACTGAGAATGTGGCTCAGTATTTAAGGGCCCTTGGTTTCAATTCTCAGTACTTTGGTTGAAAAAAGTTGAAATTTGATAAAAATTGCCTTGAAATGATACATAAATTTCAAGATATTGCCATGGTAACAATATTAGTCTTCTAATCCATGAACATATACTTCCTTTGAATATCTTTCTAGTACTTTCTCCTTTAAAATCTTTCAACAGCATTTTGTAGTTTGAAGTGTATCATCATACTGGACATATCTTTATTTTTGATGCTACTATAAACGGAAGCATTTTCTCAATTTCATTTTTAGTCTATTCATTGCTAGTTTAGACAGAATACAATTGATTTTTGTATATTGCTATTATATATATATATATATATATATTTTTTTTTAATATTTTTTTAGATGCAGGGACCTTTATTTTTTTCATTTATTTATATGTGGTGCTGAGAATCGAACCCAGTGTCTCACACATACTAGGCAAGTGCTCTACCACTGAGCCACAGCCTCAGCCCCTATTGCTATTATATCTTGAAACCTTGCCTAAATTGATTATTTTGTAGAAATTTTCATATTCTAGTTATATCGTCAGGAAACAAAGGTAGTTTTACATCTTTCTGTTTAATTTAGGCACTGCTTCTTTCATTGCTCTGACAGATATTTTGGGGAATATCGTGGTTCTTTTAGGGAGGAGGGAGAAAATGGTGGCCACTGGTATAAAAATTTTCATTATTTTAGTTTCTCCATTATTTTAAATCTTTTTTTTTTTTTTTGCCAATAATTAAATCTTGATGCCTAGACTGGTCCTTAATCTCTTTATCCCTTCTCATAAAATATGGAGGAGCAGAGTTCACTGCTTTGCCCCCAGGGAGCTCTTGCTCTCCATCTCACCCTCCGAAGAAAGCTGTCACTCATTCCCTTAACTGTTTTCCAGTTCTAAAATCTCTCTGTTTTCCTCTTTCTTTGGATAACTTTTGCAGACAAGGAAGAAAACAGTCTGAGGAACAAATAGATATAGAAAATATGGAGGAGGCACAGAGGTGTGTTTAATCAGAGGGAGGACAGCCAGGTGTGGAAGAGGAGGAACTGAGAAGGCAGCAGGAGCACAGTGAGGACATGTTGTTTCCCTGGGATGCCAGTCCATGACAACAGCAGAGACGCGGCAGGGCAGGTGCAGTTATGGGACAACCGAAAAATTATTCTGACTTCAGCATTTTAAACAAAGTAGAAAGGGAGTGGGACTCAAGGTAGAAAGCCAGATACTCACTGATGAAGAAAATGTCACCCTCAGTCTAAGTTAGTAAGGTCTGGCAAAGCCTCGATGTATGCTATCTTTGATTTTGGATACTCAGAATTAGAGTCCTGCGTTACAATGACTCTAAGAGAGTCGTGCTTCTTGTTCAAGACAAGGGCAACCTTAGATCAGAAAGTGAGGTGAACTGACAGAACTAGTTCTCAGAGCTCATAGAAGCCGAGTTTTTGGTAGAGGAGGTTCCAGCTGGAATATGGAGCTTGTACAGATGGTACAAGTTCTGCCCTCTTTTTGCCACAAGAGGATTACCAAAGCAATAGAAGCTGAGAGTAAACCAAACCAAACACCTTTTCCATCATGTGATGGTGAAGCCCTCTCTACTCCAGGAATCCAGTTTCCCCTGGATTATTTCTTTCTTCCTGCTGTTGTATATCAGTGGTCAGGAAGCCATTTATTGCCTGGAGGCCAAGACTTTCCAGGAGCTGGGCTGCCCAGCCTGGTTACCACGTAACCCGCTTCTGCGGCTGCTGTCAGCCTCTTCCAGCATCTATCTTGGTTCCCTGTGACCACGCGACACATGTGGTCCTGGCATGCCTCCAGGCAATTTGCAACTGCAGGTATGTGTTTGATTTAATAGGAGCAGACACCTCCTTTCCTGCTTCCCAGAGTTTAACCTAAAGTTACCCTTTGGAAGGGCAGGGCACGTAACTGGGGTATGACTCAACCATTGTAACTATTTTTATATTTATTTTTAACTCTTAAAGGTTCAGGACACACATGGGATGGTGGACCATAGAGACAGGTCCCAGGAGATTATATCACAGCCAAAACACTCTAAGACACAGTGCAATCAGAATCACTTCACTTTTATTATTAACAAACATAATCTCAGATCAAAGTACAACTAGCTTCAGACTTGATATTCCAAAATTACTCTTAGATAACCAATAACTACTATCTCACATTAAAATGGGAACAGAAAAAAAAAAAAACCCACTCAGGCAAGGAAAAGGTACCCTGCATAAGAGACACATCCATCTCCAATGGCTGCATTTAATCTCTTGAGAACCATGTAGGCTAATAATGACATCCAGACATATGTGCATGTCAAGTTTGTGGTGGATACTGCTACTAGAAAAGTCTGTGGGGCTTGAGAATTCCTCTGAAGATCCCAAAATGCTTAATAATAAGCTTTAGTCATGCTTCAAAACTGTCCTTTGAGGTAGGTCAGTATTATTATCATACCACATTTTAACAGAAGATAAAGCAAGGCACATTATAACTGAGTGATTTGTCCAGTGCAACAATTTCAGTGTTCCTTCTCAAAGTTCATGTGTTGGAACGTTAATCCCCAAAGCAACAAATTGAGAGGTGGGACTTTAAAGAGACGTGATTAACTCAAGAGGGCTCTGAATGGATTAATGACATTGTCTGGGGAGTGGGTTTGTTATAAAAGCGAGGGTCACATAGCAAGTTGATGGCATCGGGTTAGAAGGCCCAGACTTTGCCCACTAGTGTAACAGGGTCACCTTGCTTTGTTTACCTTTTAGACTTACCCTTTGAGCTACATACAGTACACTGAAGATATTAGCAAACCAAGCATACTTTCCACTATAAGTCTAGTACCACCATTCCATGTTTCAAATATCAAATACATTCAAATTGCTTCTACTCTCCTTCAAATTTGGGCACTTGATAACACTCCAGCCAGGCTTCTATTGATTTAGGGCACTGCTGCAGGCTTTCAAGGGTAAAGGACTGCTCAGAGGGAACCAGGAGGAGCATAACCACAGGATTAGAAAAGAAGTAAGGCACCCAAATCTGTTGTCAGCACACCCATAAGGCAAGGATTGAGTAATTAACTCTTGATGAGAGTTTCTCATTAATGTGTCATTTGAATTGAGCTTTAGAATCTTGAAGAGTGTTCTTACTGAACCAGCGTGCCCCTACCAACACATCTACAGAGTTACTGGGGACCTCACCCTGAGGTCACCATACCCATGTGTGTAGGGACATGGCATAGATCAGAACCATGGAACAGGATGAGAAGAAAAGAGAAAGGTTGAGTTTATTGTTTATATATTATCAAGCAGACATTTGATGACCTGTAGAATTAAAACCATTCAACAGACATTTCCGGTGATAGGCACAGAGTAGGCAGCTCTTCATGAGGTGATTTTCTACTAAAATGAACAACTTAAAAAAAAAATAAATAAAATGAACAACTTAAGGACAGGTTGCCTTACTGCAGGCTGGAAGGCCCTGCTTCCTCCCATGGCTAGATCTCAGTGGACAGAGCATTTGGGATTGCACATTGCTGATCCTGGTAGAGCAGAGTCAGGCTTCTGCTTTAAGGACTGAGGTTCAGGGCAGGACAGGTCCATGGTCTTCAAATAGTGGTGTTCTGTGTTTTTCTAGACTTCTTCTATCTTACTTTCTGCCCTAGGTTGTGTGGTAGGGGATGTTGATTAGTTTGCTGAACAGACACAAATATTTTCAGCAAAGTTCATGGCATCTCATATCCCACATTTCAGCCAAAGGTTTACAGCAGACTCTGGCTCCAGGCTGGGGCCCCCTTTCAAAACGAGGCACTTGGGACTTGCCCTTATTTCATGTGCTTCCCAGTGAAGACTATGCGTCCTTCCTCCTTCTACAAGGATTGAGTGTCCCCTGGGAGCAAGCAGTCTTACTGAATATGCAGGAGGCACTGAGCATGCTCTCTGTTCCAACCCAGAGAGAGGAGACTAACTTCTAACCCTGCTTTGCTCTGAGATTGGCTCACTGGTATGGTGGGCATTTGGCTTCACAGGAGACTGAAGCTGTCTGAGCCAGGAATATTTCTAGAGCATTCACTACACTTTCTGAAGTTATCAGTGTGGCACAGGCACAGAGGGGTGAAGTTGGAGAGGATCTGGAGACCAGCAAAGAGACAGTCAGCTCTCCTTGCTAAAGAGAAACAATAGTTCTGTGCTCATGAGATTTGTGTCCACAGGACAGGGAGCTGCCTAGATAGCAAGTTCTCACTTCCCTGAACAGACATAGGAGGCTGACTCTTCAAACAAGAAGAAAACATTGGAGAACAGAGTGAACCAGCAGAGGAAAGATGACAGATGGAGTAGAGCCAGAAAACTAGAAACAGTTAAGAAATTCCTGACCCACCCAGGCAGTCCTATATGCAATCTGATGGTCACAAAGCAAGGATGCATGAAAAGGTACAACACTAGGGGAGGAAGCCTATGTTTTATTCTATGTAAGGAGAAAATGTAATGAATAAATGGACCCACTATCTAACTCAGTTTACTAGAACACCCAACAAATTACTCAGTGACTTTTGAACCCTTGGGCAATGTGCTGTCAGAGCTCTTCCTTCGGAAAGTGATCTCTCAGGAGCTGCCCATAGACCCTGCCCCTCCAACTGTCCATCTCCTGCCCAGCAGTGGGAGGAATGGGTAAACCAATGGGCTTCTCTTCTCCTTCAAGCTTTTTTAGCATTTCTTTTTCAGAGGGAAATACTCCCAGTGAATATTTTCATGCTGCAATACAAATTATGTCTATACACGTTTAACTCTGACCCAAGTTCACCTGCTAAAAATTTTCCATTGTTGGATGTTTGGAAATGCCACAGCCATCCTATTACTACAAGGGCAGTGACCAAAATCCTGAAGATAGCACAGCAGAAAGATGAAAGAAGTTGGACAAGCAGCTCACGGAATCCTCACAACTCAATGAGCTCTTGCTGTATCCATCACTTCCGGACACAGTCGACAACTCATTCATCTATAAAATAACAAATCTCCTTAATACAGGGGGAATTTTTTTTTTTCCCCAGAAGAGATCACTTTTCCTAAGAACTATATGCTTCCCATTTATCCTCAGTCTAAACTATATTGAGACATTAAGATGTGCTGCTGTAATCTAACATTGCCAACCTGCATGGCCATCCTCTAATCAGTCAGGAGAGAAAGGATGCATACTGGGTGGAGAGGCTCCAGGTCTCTGCTAGGTAGGCAGCTGGGTCTGACTACAAAAAGAACTTTCCCACCTCAACCACACCCTTACTTAGAAATCATATCCGGCATGCTCACTCTCCCCTGATGAATGACCTACTTTGCAAGCTCTGTGATAAATAGTTATTTTCATCTTCCATCTAGCAAAGCGTATAATGACAGTTAATGAGCACTTTTGAGAAGATTTTGTTGCATAGCTAAGTGGAGCCACCTGCCTTAAAGTTCAGGAGAGATCAAGCATGAGAGTATCTGAAGTAAATCCTTTGCTTTTAAGCTCTTGGAAGATTGCTAGGCTTTTACATTGGACACCGACCTGCGGCTGACCAGATGCTTGCCTGGGAGGCAATAGGGAGAAGAGAAAGGAAGATGATAGGAACCAAGCAAAGAAAAGGACAATGGAAATAAAGACAGAGAAGAAATGAATATTGTTTTAGCATCAAAGAGGGGAGTTGTTGCCCTTCAGTACTTGTCATTTACTGAACCGGAATGTGTTAAGGTCATCATCTTTAGCATCCAGGTAGCATTACTCAGTAGTTAATTAACAGAACATTAAACCTCTACTGGATTTTGGAACAGGACCCTGGACAACCTCAAACTCAGCTGCTCTTAGAGCTTCCATCTCCAGTTCTTTTAATCCTGGCCAAGACAGTGGCCTTGGATACTTTCTTCCGGTCGTAAGCCAGGCCGAGGACAGCCATGCAATCAATGAAGAACGTGGTAAAGTTGATGTGCCAGCGGTACTCACTGGCAGAGTAGTCATAGGGGAAGGTGTGGTGGTAGTTGTGGAAACCCTCGCCTGGAACAAACCAAGGAAAGAAGTTATGAATCTCGGTGGAATTCCGTTTTCCTCATCTTGGCAACCTCTTACCCAGCAGGGCACTAAAAACCTCAGAGAAAGCTGCTGTTGCTGAGTGAATAAATGAACCCTGTGTCTTCTACTTAAAACAAATAGATGCCCTCAGAGTCATCATAAGCAATGAACCAAGAGGATCTGATCACCCATGTTTATCTGGGAGCCTTTGTGATAAGGAGTTTCTATTGGAGAATAAGAAACTAATACTGTTGAGAAAGGATTTTATACTAGAAAATACCATAGTTCCACTAAATACTGGCCTGCAACCCCACAGGCACTTTGCCTCTGTACAAGTGTTGAGGTGAGGAGGGGAGAGTCCAGAGGAAGAAATTGTAGCAGTGCTGCTAACAAGGTGAGTAAGCACCTTTCCCCACTGTACTGGTGCCCGTTCAAGGATGGGAAATTCCAATAGAATGGGTGGCAACAGCCATTTCCCACATCAACCACACCCTTACTTAGAAATCATATTTTGGATGTTTGGAAATGCCACAGCCATCCTATCACTACAAAAAGAAAAGGAGGCTCAACCAGAGGCCAGAATTTCCACAACCATGGCTGGTTCTCAGTAGGCTGATCTGGATCCTAATCCTGAGTTTTGACCCTGGGGTGAAAAAACAGAACCACTCTGAAAATACTTAGAGATTTCCTGTAAGCTGAGATTCTGAGAAATCCTTGCTAGGAAAAAAAAAAAAAAAAAAAAAGAAAAGAAAAAAACAAAGAAAGAAAAAAAGAAAGAAAGAAAGAAATCCTGGATTCAGGACCATTTCACTATTGGGTAAAAAAACAATTCTGGAGGGACTCTTTTTTGTCTAAGTCAATTCCAATACTAATAACACTGACCCTTATCAGAGTTGGAAAAAAGAGAGGTCCTTTATTTATTAGTTAGTATAAAAAATAGATAGAATAGCAATGATACGAACAACTAGCAAGTGAAGGAAATTCTACCAAGTCAATTACTACATCCAAGGCATCTCAAATTATGCACTATCTCTGTACACACCTTGACCACCCAGTGAACTGGGAAGCAGGAGTGCAGAGTGGGGCACAGGGAACACCAAGACTCAGGGTGCTGATAGAGGATTTCTAACTTCCACATATGGGTTCAGAGCCAAGACCTCAACAAGCCCAAAGGTATCAGATTTAAAAGAGGATAGACATACAGATAGAGAAGGGAGAGGAGAGTCAATGGGACACAACAGGGACAGTAAGAGATAGCCGAAGACTCTAGGGGAAAGTCACCTTTATCAGAGAAAAGATGAACATGTGACCATGGGGAAAGCAATTCCAGAAGCAAAGAGATTAGAATGGCAGGAAACAGAGCTGGAAGAGAGCAAAGGGTAAGGTGAAGAGGCCAAAAGAGCAGGTTTGGAGTTTCATTTATAATTATGGGACACATCTCAATCTAGGTTCTTACATTTCTATGATTTGTACGCATAGGTCATTTATTTCAAATATGGTGTCTGCACCAGGAAAACTAACTTGAGGCCTTGGTCAAAGTCTATATGCACTTGGAATGAAGGACAGGAAAAGGTAGAGTCTGATGGTGGAACTGTCAAACTCTCTGCTTTCCTGGAGGATTCCCCCAGCACTATGGGAAAAGGGAGTTCCTAGCACACTGTAAGAACAGAAGACAGAAAAATAAAGGACATAAGGAGCGAGGGTGGCATGTGGGAGCACGGGCCACCAAGAGATGCACTGATTCCCCTCATGTTGGCATCAACAAATAATAAGGTATGGCCCACACTTGAAAGGTAGGGCACATTCAAGTACAGTGGAGAGAGAAAAATATTCTGTGGCATAAAATCTTTGAATTGAATTATAATTGTGATAAGGAGTTTCTGTTGGAGAATAAGAAACTAATACTGTTGAGAAAGGATTTTATACTAGAAAATACCATAGTAGTCTACATTTTATACAGCATCTTTAAATATAAGACACTGGGCTTCTAAGTCATGCAGATGTCTCTAATTTTCTCTTTATGCATTCTCTGCCTCAAGACTACAAACCTGTAAAAGATGACTAGAAGAAAAAAGTCAATGGGGCTCAATGTAGGTAGGATTTAGAGATTGTTTTACAACTTAAAATCAAAAGCAGCCTTATTTTTCACTCTTTCCATTTTACATAAGAGTTGTTGCCACACTCCCAAAGGGATTTCACAGTGTCTTGCCCCTAGAACTATACTGAAGAAAAAAAAAAAAAAAAAAAGACAGAGCTACAAAGTGGTCATAAAAATAGGTCATTTGGGTTCTTCCAGCTCCTAGCCAAATATCCTGATCAGGAAACCACTAGATGTGGTCATGCTATTGTCTTATGACTTACCCACAGCTCCCAGGGAAACCAGGATATTCTCCCGGGAGTTGATATTCTTGTCATAGGGGCGGTATCCATAGAGGTGGGCAGCACTGTTCACCAGCCAGGTGGCATTAAGCACTATGGTATATCGCAGTAAAGAGGCGACGTACAAGCTGTGTGCAAAAGTTTCACCCCAACAAAACCAGGGCACCAGTGTGGGCAGGATGAAGCACATCAACAGAACAGCGGACTTGTAGTACCTACATTGAGAGATCCCACAGTGAGTCAGTGGAGGGCTGTCATGCCTAAGTGGATTGTCCACTCACTGGACTGGGCTGTTTTTCTTCCTACTCTGTGAATACAGAGTGTCAGAAAAGAGCACGAGGGAATAGGGTGGAAGAACTTTTCAATGCATGTTATCCCAGTCTCTAGAGGAGGCAACAATGTGTTTAATGACTTTCCTAAGAAGGCCCCACTGGTAACCAGTGGAACAAATATGGAAACACCTGTATCCTGACTTGAAGTCCATTGTTCTTTTTCAGGAGACCATAAGGCCATGTTGGTTAAACAGATGAGCATCAAATCTCAAATTCATCAGCCAGTTCTGCAGCCTGGGCTGCTGTCCATCTGACTTCAGGAGCCTTCCTTTTGTCACAGTGTCATGCTTCCATTCTAGCTACTCCCTGTTCCCCGAAATTCTTTGCTCTACTTGTCCCTCAGAAGGCTCACTGAATATCCTTGGTCACCTGCAGGTCTCTGTCCTTTCAGAGGCCCTGTTCCATACTCTTCACTCCTGTGAAAGCCAGGTGATTGGCATTTTAAGGGAATGGATTGCCTACCTCCCTTCAGCAGTCACGTCTTTCACTTGTATGTCACTGTCATTCCTTGCCTCCAACTCCTTTCCATTGCTGCCACTGCTTCCCTAGCATGGATCCTTGCTACTGTCTAACCTGTGTCCCTGCCTCTTGTCTCTCTGGCTCAATGGTAACTTTCACCTGTCCTGAGAGCAGCTTCTCTGAAGCATGCCCTTGAATGTGCCACATGGCTGCAAAGGAGATGATTAGAGGTTCCCTGTTGCCCACTGAATAAAATCCTAAATCCACACTAGAATTGTACAGGAACTGCATGAGTCTCTGTAGTCCTTTTACCTGCCCCACTTCAAGAAGAAGGACATCCTTCATGGAACATGCTTGAGGCTTCTCTGCCTCATTCTGTTCTTTCTGTTTACATTATCACTGATCACTCATACTTGTGAAGATCTCTCATAACCACTTTCCTCTGCCCCCACTGAGCAATCTCCCTCCCTTTACACCTTTCATAGTACAGACAATATTCTACCCTGTATTGTGGTTATTTGGGTAGTTGGCTTAGCCCTTCAACCCCAAGAGGACACAAACTCCTTGAAGGAAAGAACTTAACTACATTATTTTTTGTGTCCATAACTATCCCAGGTCAGTGAGCATTTGCTGCATTTTAACAAGTTTCATTAAGATAGCTCAGAGAGAAAGGAACAGAGCCGTAAACTGACTGAGGACCTGTGGCATGTTAAATACTGGATTTTAAATGAGTTTGAATTTACAAACCCAGTTCATCCTCAGCTTTTATTTTCTAAGACCTAAGGTAAAAGGTGGAGTCCTTAAGATTCAGGTGCCCAGGGCCACATCCCTAGTCCCATCTTCCCTTTACTCACCTCCTCTGGAACATCACCAGCTTCTCAGCTTTTAGGTCAGATAGGTCCAGGGTCGCCCCCTTCTCTTTGACAGCTGGGTGTTTGCGCACCAGCAGCCAACCCACGTGAGAGAAGAAGAAGCCACGGCGAGAGTTGTGAGGGTCAGCATGTGTTTCTGAGAACTTGTGGTGGGCGCGGTGATCTCGGGCCCATTCATAAACATCATTCTGGAGGGACAGAGAAGAGGAATGCAGGCCTGAGGAGGGATGCCCTCATGGGAAAAATGCCATTCTTAAATGTATGTAAAGGGTCCATGGCTTTTGGCATGACCTCACACAGTCTGGCTCCAGAGGAGGCATAGAGGGGCCTGCCCTCTTCTGCACACTTGCCCTGAAGATCAGATGGAAAAGCAACTTACAGTATAGACCCAGGAATAGAACTGCCGCTTCCTGCAGGTTACAGAATGGGGAGAATACAGGTAAATCACCATGCTCAAATAATTTCACTAGGAGAAAACAGGGCAATTCTTGTAGCAAGGGAATGAGGCAGGTGGCTTCAGGCCCTGGGGTGCTGGCTTATGGGGAAAACTACAAGAAGTTCTATCTTGATGTGTTTGTAAGTGACAGCTTCAAGGGCAGCATGTAATTCATGACCATGACTGCATCTCCAAAGGACTTCTGGGCTTGTCTGGGGCTTTTTCCATTCCTTCAAAAAATGTTCCAATGTGTTTCTTCTTTCTCTTTGGCCCACAGAGACAACATCAGGAACCTTGAAGGTGTAAATTTCTAGGACCAGAGATGATTATCCAAATGTGGTTCCATACCTCAGATATTGCCAAGAAAAACAGGACTAATTTGTTTTTTCTTCTCCTCTTAAGCCTAATACCACGAGTTATCCTGTGCCCATTCCTATAATGTACCAGCTGTAAGAGTCCTCTACCCCAATTCCCTTCATTCTATTTCTGATATAAATTTGGGCCACAACCTATCCTCAATAGCTGACTTAGCTACCACAGAAATGTGGTCATGGTCATGAGGTACATACTGCCCTTGGGTGACAAGGTTGGCCCATCCACCCTCTAAGTGACTCAGATTCCTCATCTGTAAAAGGGAGCTAAATAATAGCACCTATCTCCTAAGATGTATCAGGACTTAATGAGTTCATCTATGTGAAGTGCATAGCATAGCCCCCAGCACACAATGCTATAGAAATGTGATCTTATTATCCACGACAACAAAGTTCCTGAGTCTCTTAGATAACATCATCCTCAAAAAAAAAAAAAAAGGTGGTGTCTGAAGATAGTCTCCCTAAACCAAGAGCATCCCCCACTCCCAGTGTCTGCCCAGGAAACCAGGTTCAGTGTGTGGCTATGTGATGTGGCCCCTTATGATAAAGGACCACAATAGCTGAACACACTGGTATCAAAAACAATCCTGTACCTCCAGAGCTTTGACTATTTTCCCCCTACTTCCCTTCCTATTGAAGTATTCTGAAGCATTCCATGTTTGAGCTTACACTTTAGGTGACCCCTGGAAACTGGAAAGGTCAGTGATGGTCCTGCTGAGGCTTCTCTCAGGGCATTGACACCCTCCATTCCACCCTAGGTCATCAACAAGGTAGAGATACAAAAGCCAAGCAGCACCCACTTCTCACCTGGAACGCCATGGTGTTGGCAATGATCAGGAAGAGCCGCAGGGGCAGCCGCGCTTTGTAAGTTCGGTGGCTCCACAGGCGATGAGCTCCTGCTGTGATGCCCAGACCACTGATTAAATAGTACACATAGGCTGCCAGGACAAGATGATAGGGGAGTCACCAACAGGAAAGTTCCATAGGGAAACATATCAAAGTAACTCTCCTATACCACTCATGTGCTCTTTAGGCTTTGGGTGAATATCCACCTTACCTGAACCATAGGGCTGCCTTGGCATTCAAGGCCTGTGCCTTTTACTACTTGAAAAGTGACCACCACCTCCTAGCCTCTCCACCTACGAATGGAGACAAGTCAAGGATTCTCATGAACTAAGGAGGCAGGATGGCAAGATAGGAATAAAACTCTCACCACTGTGCCACTGTCATTGTCAAAGGTGGAGGTATTATCCAAGGTCTTGTCCAGTTTGACATTCAGCTTACCTTCTCGAAGATAATCAAATTATTCCTACAGAGCTCAGAACCCTATATACAAGGATTTTCTGAAGATAGCCACAGCAATCTGGGCACTGCTCAACTGGATGTAGTGGACACTAGGGGTAGCAATGTACCAGCTGGTGAAAAACTTTTAAGTATTGTACCAGGCAGTGTAATACTATCAGGGTAAGTCAGTCCTGCACACAGTCGTGTGTGCAGTGGCTCAAGCTTTATCACAGGTAGTTGTTAGTAACACCACACATTGCAGGTAAAGAAATAGATGCTTTAAAGGGTGCCTGTTTATTGAGCACTGTCTTGCCTCTGTTTCCTCTAGTTCTACAGGCTCACCAGGCACCAGATACAATCTCTAAAGGGCAAGTAGGCAGGTGTACCTATGTCTTCCTGTTTAGTAGCTCTAAGAGGCAGGGATTCAGACCTTGGGAGAAACTGTTAACAATGTTTCATTCCTAGGAGCCCGGATGGAAAGGATGATTTTAAGGAGCCACAGAATTTAGTTGGGTTGAAAATGGTATATATGGTAACAAATTATCCTGTGTTCTACAGCCAGAGATAAAGAGTTTCCTAAACAGCTCCTTTCTCTCCCCTCCCTTCCCTCCTGTACCCTATCCTTTTCCTCCCACAGGGTTCGCAGGAGAGTCAAAGAGATAGTGACTATACCAAGGAAAGTACTGGCCACATTCTCTCTGAGAGGGACTGGAGGCTCCAGCTGATATTTGGCCTCTGGCCATGTGGTAACTGAGATCTGATATGCATCACCCATACCTAGAAAAACCACAGTGAGCCAGGGCCCTGCAATCACCAGAAGGAAAGAAAGGGCTTTAGACAAAGCAGAAACACTCAGCTGAGAGGCCAGGAAGTATCATCATGGTGCATATGACCCTGGTTCATTGGCTCCTAAAGCATATGCCATCCCATCATAAGGGTAACTGGATCAGAATCCAGGCACTCTGGTGCCTGTTCTATGCATACTTGTCAGACTCTCAAGAAGGCTCAGTCAGTTAGATTCACTCTGACTTCCCCAGAGGACTGTTAGTGTCCACATTGATGGTTAAGCAACATCTCACAGCTTTGCACTTTGGCCCTCAGCATTGCCAGAGACATCTCCTCAACCCTGCCCTAAGTGCTCTTCCAGAGTCTACAGACACAGAAGTCACTTGAAATAGCTGATTGAGGAGAAATGATGCAATGACACACAATGACCTACTTCAATAGGACCTTTTCAATCCTATAAATGTAGTGTTGTTGCCACTTAGTATCAGGTGATCCTGAGAAAGGGAATCTTCTCAGTTTCATTTCCATATGGCACCTAGAGCATTCTCCAAGACAAAGTTTAACTACCAAGACCAGATATAGGCACCTATAAGACCTAAGAGGCCTGGTGGGGACAGGCTAACACATGGCCAATCAGCCCTTCTACACCACTACCCTTCAAGAAAGTTGTCAGAAAGTTCCTCATGCCTCTTTGTTCTGAAAACTTCTGGTTGTCTCCTGGAGAGGGTGTCCTGGCTTCCTACTTCTCGGAGAGCAGCAATTGGGCCAGTGGGTCTCTAGACCTCCCTGCTCCCCCTTCCCTACTCGGGCTTTAGGGGCAAAGGTTAATCTGTCTGCAAAGCACATGCATGGGTCCAAGGGCTATCAGCCTCCAGCCATGGATCTCCAAAAATGCTAAGCTATGGGCAGGTCAGGAGAGAACTGGCAACCTCTCTCTCATTACAGCAGCCTAAGGAATAGGGAGGAGCAGGAATAGCAGCTGGTGTTAGAAGTTGTTAGGTCCTAGGCACTTCCTAGCTTCAGGAGAGAAGAGCAGGAGGAAATGGCAGAGTGGGGAATGGAACAGGAAGCATTTCTGCAACATTATTTCATTCTAAGCACATATTGCTGACTGGCATAAGCTGTATCCAGACCTACCTGGAGTGACAGAGCAACACATCTGTGCAGCCTGGGTCATGGCCTTATTATTTCCCCTCTATGACAAACCAGCCTGGTCTGGTCTGGGGTCAGGTCAGAATCTTATTGATAATCCTTTATGTTCTTCCTTTTTGCATGATCTCTCCTCATCAGCTTTCCTTTCCTACAACCCTGACTGTGCTTGGTGTGCAGTTCAGAAACTCTGGTCTAGCCCCAGGTTCTCAGTCACCCAGGCAGGCAGGACAGGGACAGGGAGCCAACTGACTCAAACAGAAAAGTTTTTGGGGGGACAGCTGCTTCTGTGCCACACACATATTTATACTTCAAAGCCCCCTGCCCATGGTCTCAGTGCTTGCTCCTCAGCACCCATGTTGAGGGACTCTGTAGAACCTACCTTCCTGCACCCCAGTCTCACTAGGCTCTATTCCCAGGCCAGTCAGTCTCTCAGGCAACCAAAGACACTTGGCAGGCAAAACCTGAGGAGAGGAGCCTCTGCTCTGTGGAAGACCCCACCTTATTAAACATCAGTGAGAAACCTGGGGTACTGGTTCGGAATAAAGGAACCTGCTTACCCCAGATCCAAGTGTAGAACTTGCAGGTGGGAACCAGTATGACCCCATACAGGGCTCCCAGGTGCAGCAGGCCCATGAGGATGATGTTTCTCCAGACATACTCAAGCTTGGGTGTGGGACCCTCGGCATCCTGATAGCTGTGATCATATATATCATCTTTCATTTCAGGGCGGATGTCTTCTGCTGAGTAAAGGGACATCTTCTCCAATTTTTGTTCTCCATCATGGAGACCCTCATTTGGAGGTGATCTGATGGTGGTGGTGGTCACATAGGAGCTGGAGATCTGAAAAGAGCAGTGGAGAGTCAAGAGAACGCAGAGGCTGGGGCAGTAAAGGACACTTGTTCTCTAATGCAGCTGGGGGTGGGGGGTGGTGTGCAGTAGAGGCACAGACCCTGCCTCAGTACCTAGGCTATGTGATGGTGGTAGGTATCTAGAGATGGAATAGGGGACGGTTTCCAGAAATTGCAGATGAATTGGGAGTTAAATCATAAGGTGAAGGAGCAGAAGGAGACAGGAGGGTAAACAGCTCGCACCCCTAGCAACACGCAAAGGAAACCCCATGTATGCAGGGGGTCTAAGCAGGACCAGAGTTTTCCTGACTTTAAAGCTCAAGAACCAAGAGTCAGGGAATAAATCCTCCAGAATGCAACACACACCCCGCCCCCAACCGAGGGCAGCAGAAAAGACGGCCCTTTGCTCACAGAAGCTCTTAATTGTCTCCCCCACTAACCAGTCGCCTACAAGCCCCATTCGCGCCCGCTACGCAGCGGGACGGAGGCCACTTCTGGGACGCTTACCTCCTGCAGCATGTGGGCGGGCATCGGGCTCTCGGGTGCTGGGATCGCCCTCCCAGGGCTGAGGCTGCGGAGCAATTCTGGCGCAGTTGAGACAGAGGATGGACTTCGGCTCAGGGGTCCGCTGGTGCGGGGCGTCGGTGGAGCTGCGCTCAGAACACCTCTCTACTGTGGCACGTGGATGGCTGTGCTGGCCCGACCCGCTGTGCGCGGATCTCTCTGGGCTCGAAATTTAAAGGGAAGAGTTAGCCTAGGGCGACCGTTTCCTCAAAACTCTTTGATCTGCTGCCAAAAGGGACAAAGTGAGCAGAGCTGCCTGGCCGAGACAGCCCCGCGTGGAAATAAGGGCGGGAGAGGGGAGGGGACAGAAAGTCGAGTAGCTCAGCCACGGGAGACACAGCGGGGGATACAGCCGACGCCAACACCACGCCGCCCCAGCCCCAGCCTCTGGGAAATGCTAATGAGACTCCTGTAAACTCTGGCCAGTCATTGGCCAAAGGGAATTTGGTGCCACCTCGTCCAGCCTTTGCCATTGGCTGGACGCAATCTGCTGTTCCCTTTGCTGCCAGCTCCTCGCTCCCTTCCCCTCCTTTTCTCCGTCTCCACTTTTCTTCTCTCAGTTCTTGGGGCTCTGTCCCACACCCCGCGATTTCGGATGCACCTGGGAGATTTCTCTCCGAAGGAAGGGGAGGAGTTGGTTCGGCACTGGGGGGTGGGTTACAAGTCTTGTACTGGTCCTCTGCTCACCACAAATGGTTGGTACTGCTGAAATTGCACTGGGAATCGTGGGGGGAGCCACGGTGGCGCCCAACACTCACAATTCCTTTCTGTCTTCCCTTTCCCCCAGACGCTTAGGAGGGGAGACGTGGCTTCTACCCCGCAGTAGCCCAGAGAGGTCTGGTGCAGTCCGCCTCCTAAACTGGGAGCTCGGACTTGAAGCTCTGCCCAGTCCCCAAGCTCTGGGATGCTAACCTGAGACCGCCCGGGAACTCTGGCCACACGTGCAAACTCGCACGGATCTGTGTGCCTACAAGGCAATACCCCGCGCAGTCACTGGGCACATTCTGCAGGGAAAGTCCACCGCTAGACAACAGTGGACAATCCAGTCCCTATGTCCACACCTCCAAAAATGCTTGCGGGACGGTTTGGATATTCTTCTGATTGTCAGGTTGGAATTTTTGAGTCTTCTACAAGGAAAAAGGCAGGAAACACAGACAGGTGTTTGCTCTCAGCAGTAAGGCAAAGAACTAGAGGGTTCCAGGAGTTCATGGAGAGGAGGAAGTTCAGGACAAGTGGGGTCCTTGACTTACTAGTTGGAAAAGAATTTCAGCCCGTGCTAGTTAGAAACAGAAAGATTTATTTAAGGAACTAGAAACACATTCAAGACAGACAGTAGGCTATCTCAAATGAGAGATGCACTTTGGAGTAAAGCAAGGAATACACACTCAAGGGAAAATGTGGGGCATCTTCAGAGTGAGAGATACTTTTATGTTTCTCAGGTTCTTCTTTTAAAGGATATTTGTGAAGGGTGGTCATGGAAAGATCTGTGAGGATGACAGCAATCTGGTGATCACAAGAATGTTTATAATCTTTCTTAGTGTCTTTAGGCTGTTGTAATCTTCATTATCTTATCAGTAGCTAGCCATTGGAAAGTATATTACAGGTTTCTTAAATTATAAAATACACTTCTCCCTCTCTCCCTCCCTCTCCACGCCCCCCCCCCCCCAGTACTGGGAGACCTGGAGGTGCTTTACCACTGAACTACATCCCCAGTCTTTTTTATTTTGAGACAGCTCTCATAAAGTTGTTTAGGGACTCACTAAGTTGCTGAAGCTGGCTTTGAACCTGCGATCTTCCTGCTTTAGCCTCCCAAGTTGCTGGATTCCAGGTGTGTGCCACTTTGGTGGCACATTTTGTGTTAGAGGAAAAAAGAGGAGGCCTGCCAAGACCATGCAGAACAGGAGTCCTGTATTTTTCTCCAAAACCAGGCTTTTGCCCTGTGGAGAAAGCTCTGGAAGTACAGAAAAGGTCTGAGTTAGGGAGAATGAGTTTTAGGAAAGAAGGCAACGCCCATTTTGACATTGATAACCAAGACAGAATGATTCCTGGTTTGACCTGTGTGTATCACGTGTCTGTGACTGTGTCATCCACTACTTTGGATCCTCAGGAGCTCACCTCTGCCCACAAAATAAGGTTTTGTGCTAGTAATAAAATTACAGGGAAGCATGAGAGTTGGAATAAGGAAAAATTATGTCACTGTCAAGTTAGAATTTACAATCATGATTTGTTTACAATAGAATTTATGACTCAGTTGATTAGAGTTTTAGTATAGAAGTGAAAGTACAGAATATGCTCTGGAGATGGAGGTTGGTGCTATAAATATTCCTGTATAAAAAGGGTACATGATACTGTGGCAGTTATAAATTTTCATTTTGATTCTTCAACTCAAGAGAACAACAACAACAACAACAAAAAAGCTATCTTAAGTATATAAGTTGTCAATGGCAAGAATTAATAGAAATCAGTCCCCTTCAGGCCTTCTCAAGTCTGATACTGTAGGTGATGAATTGTTCCTATGCATTTCAGGATTGGGAGTGCAAATCTATGCCTGGAAAACATTTTCTAGTTCACTACCATTAATCTGGTGTTGTGACACTTAAGCAGGAAGTATTGAGGTCCTCTTACACTACTGACCCAGAGGAATAGTTCAATGATGTTTTGTGCCAGATTTTAATGGTAACCTCAGCCACACTTGTGGAAAGGTAACATGAACTTGAATAGAACATAATTTAGCATTAAATGATGTGTCTGTTTCAGCATCCATTCCATTCTCCTTTATTAACATGAAAAATTTAGAGGCACTTCCACTGGAGAAAAAAAGCTACCTCTGATTAATCATTTGAGAATATTTTCTTTTTCATTTCATTTCTTTTTTTTATATTTATTTATTTTTATGTGGTGCTGAAGATCGAACTCAGTGCCTCACGTGTACGTGGCAGGTGCTCTACCACTGAGCTACAGCCCTCATTTCTTTTCTTTTTTTCTCATAGGGCTGCAGATCAAACCCAGGGCCTCAAGCATGCTAGGCTGTCATCCACCAGTGAGCCACTTCCACCCCCAAAATGTTTTCTTTTTTTTTTTTTAAATAATATTTATTTATTTATTTATTTTAAGTTTTCGGCGGACACAACATCTTTGTTTGTATGTGGTGCTGAGGATCGAACCCGGGCCACACATATGCCAGACAAGCACGCTACCACTTGAGCCATATCCCCAGCCCCTTCCCCAAAATGTTTTCATTCGATTTTTCTAACTGGGTTTGTTTCCCTTTCCAGCAGAGATCACCACCATTCCCAAGGCTCTGGTGGGCTGTACCTCTCAAGTGACAATGGTCAAACTAGCACTCTGACTTGGATTCTAACTTTGTTTCTGATCTGGGGACCCTCCTTCAGCAAAAAGAACAAATTGCCCCCAAAATTATGATAGCTAAAAGATAAGAGCTTCTATGTAAAGAAGTCTATAGATTGACAAACATAATTAAAGCTCAAAATGATCAAAGAGGCAGAACACCTGAACAGGCACTTCATAAGAGAAGAAATATGGGTGGTATACAACTACTTAGCAAGTGTTGAACTTGAATAATTATTTTTTAAAAATTTCAATGATAAGTGATTTATCACAAGGACATGACAATATTCAATATTGTGGAAGTTGAAACAAGCATTCTTTAAAATGCTGGTTGCAGGGGCTGGGGCTATAGATCAGTGGCAGAGCGCTTGCCTAGCACATGTGAGGCACTGAATTCAATCCTTCGCACCACATAAAAAAATAAATAAAATGAAGGCATGATGTCCATCTACAACTACAAAAAAAATTTTTTTAAATGTTGGTAGCATCCCAAATTGATTCACAAACATATTTGTCACAATATTATTTATGATATTAAATAATAATGTAATAAAACATAATATAAATAATAAACAAAAATGATAGATTAGGATTTAGCTATACCATATATTGCAACATATATTGAATATGTGTATATATCTACATACCATATATTTTATGTATATAATATACACCAATAACAATATTTTTCAATGGGCTGAGGGTGTAGAACAGTGGTAGAGTGCTTGCGTAGCATGCAGGAGGCCCTGGTTTTGATCATTAGCACTACAAAAAAGAATATTGTTTAAGAAGCATTTCCAATGACATTAGAATATACTCATGCTATAATGTTCACATATAACTATGTAAAAATATATTTATTTTTGTCGTGATCTCAACAATGTATAATATTATAATAGAAGGAAAAAAGTATCAAGCTGAGATACTGATTCTGAAATTTAATGAGATGCCAGGTAACCTTAGGCAATTCACTTTATTCAGTGAGTTTCAAGTCTCTCATCTGTAAACAAGAACACTAATATTTGTTCTGGAAGCTGTTGCCAATATTCACTGAGGTATTAAGTTTGTTAGTCCTGTATTGGACACATAATAAGTTGCAAATGTTATTATTTCATTTTTATTCAGACTTCTTCATTTTTGTAAGCAAAGTGTTTATGATTGTACCCTGAATGTCTTTTGCAGCCTTAATTCCCACTTCCCTCTTAGTATAACTTGTACCTTCATCAAGCTACACTTGCACAGATTTCTACACTTGATCTTAGCCACAAGTTCAAGAAACAATAACTCCTACTGGTTTCTAAACATACTTCTAAACTTTTCTTCTAAAGTTTTCTTCCACTCCTCTCTCACTATCAAAATGTTACTCAGAATCCAGCAATTCCACTCCTAAGTATATAGTCAAGAGAAGGGAAAACAAATGTAGACACACACACACACACACGCACACGCACGCACAAAAAAAAAGAGAGAAGAAGAAGAAACTTATATTTTTTCACAACAGCACAAAGGGAAGACAGTGGAGACATCTATGCACTAATGGGTAAATTAGAAGAGGTGTATCCACATAATGGAATATTATTTAGCACTAAAAAGGAATGAAGTACTAGCATATGCTACAACATACATGAACCTTGAAAACAGAATGCTAAATGAAAGAAGCCAGTTGCAAGGGACCATATAGTACATGATTCTTTTTATATGAAATGTCTAGAATAAGCACATTTATAGAGACAGAAAGCAGATTAATGGTTGTCCAGGGCTTGGATGGAATTAGAGGTGGTGGTGGTGGTGGTGGTGATGGTGAAATGATAGCTAAAGAATGGAGTAATAAAAGAGTTTAAAATTGTGATCAATCTTGAAAATATGCTAAAAGCCATTAAATTGTGTGATTTAAATGGATAAATTGCATAGTAGAGAAATTACTTCAAAATACCTTGTAGCTACTGTCAAATCAACCACTGCAGATCCTGAGATTGTCAGCTTGCTCAAGTAAACAAGTACTCTGAGATTTGTAGTTATGCAACCAGCCCCACCATCTGTCCATCCACACCACACGTGGCATTGTGGAATGGGGACAGGAGGTCAGAACTACAGCAACTGCCTTCATAACCCCAGGCCTCTTGGGCTTTCCCATGGCAAAGGACAATGTGGGAAGGAACATTGGAAGCCACTCCTCTTGTCCCAGTGTTGACCCCAGCTTGTTCTCTGGGCCCATGGAAAGGGGCAGGCCCTCAGTTAGCGCCCTGTCCAATGATGCTAACTGAATCTCAGGCACCAGACGACCAGGAGAGATGGTGCAAGTAGATTCATTCTCCTCCCATCCAGGGAACAGCGCCCAGGGTGGCCTGCCCTTCTGTGGCCTGTCTGGGCAACACTGGCTCTGGAGGAAAGAAGGTAAAAGAAGCAAAGGGGACCCCACTGCCAAGAACACACAGTTCACTCATTCGGAGGATGTTTATGAACCACCCACAAGGCCCCAGGATGGGGGAAAGAACTGAGGTCCCAGGGGTCCCTTTGGGCAGTTCTCATGGAGGATGACATGCTGATGGGACCTTACACACAGTGCATTGTAGACTCAAGAGGACAGACACAGGCCAGACCAGCCTGGGAGAAGCAAGGAAGAGACACTGGTGAGAAATTCCCAGGTGCTACCGCCATTAGGTATGAAGAGCAGATGACAGTTTGGGAGCTCACAAGAGGAAAAGAGACTCTAACATGACACTTCACTGACGAGGACCCTCAAACAGGGCTCCTCCCAGGCCCCAGGTTTGAAAGATAGTGCCACAGGTCCCCAGCTGGGCAGCCTGGATCAAGAAGAGGTCAATGTACTCTCCTGGCCTTCCCTTTGCTCTGCAGTAACCTCACTCACACTGATGTCATCTGTGCTTTCCTCTATCAGCACTGAGCTGACCACAGAAGGGCTGCAGGGTCCAGAGGACAGCTGGCACTGTCCTAAGCCAAGCTTCCCCAGAGCATTTCCCAACCAGGAGTGTGCGTCTCTCTCATCTCATCCATGGTGCCAAGGTATCTATCTGGGGGTTGGGTGTTGACTGCGCCTCCCTGTGCACCTCCCTGTACCCGCTGAAAAGTCAATGCCCTTCCCAACAGAGGAGCCCCTAAGATTGGGTAGGCAAGAGAATGGCCTCAAGGGTGATTGCTGCGGCAGTACTTTCAAGCTTCTCTTCATGTGCACTGTGCTAAGTGCACTAACAATCCAGCAAAGTTCACCCATGAGTTACCCCCACTTTGCAAGGCTCAGAAAAGCTTGCTGGATGGGAAATGGTATGGCAGGAATGTGCCAGAACCTAACATCTGCCAGGTATGTGCAGGGACTTTGAATATTTTCTCTAGCAAGTAGCTCTTTCCAACCACAGAACAAACCTGCCAAGCAGAGTCAGAAGCACACTTGCTGGGCCCTGCTTCTCTTGTGTCCACTTCACCAGGGCCTCACTCCAGGCTGCAGACACACTGGAAACTGGGTAGAGTCTGGAAGGCCCACTGGTCAGCTAGAGGCGTCTGAGAGCATACCCTTTCTAGTAGGCTGTACTGAAGTCATTCACCCAATCTCCCCTCCCTAAGCCCATCTCCACTGGCCCCTGGCACCTTCCTCCCCTCTCCCCCATCCTAGAGGAAAAAGGGAAAGTCCCAGGCAAGCCCTCAGCATGGTCCTTGGCATCCAAGGTATAAGTGACCAATCCTGGTGGATTTCCAAGCTTATTTCTACTGGTTTTTCACCAGGGTTTAGCTGGATTCCTTCAAAACCCAAAGTTATTTCCTTTCCCTTCCCATGGGGACTCTGAATTTGCAATGTTCTCTGGCCCAGACATGCTCTCAGAGAATCCTTGATTTTCCCTGTTCTTCTCTCATGCAGCAGCCACCTGCATTCCTCTCCATTCAGCTGAGAACCAGCAAGATGGGGAGGAGCCAAGTCCAGAATCCCCAACAGCAGGCCCTCAGCTACCTCAAATCTAGCCTCAAGAGCCTTACAGAGGCCCAAAGGAAACTAGTGACCTGTCAGTCCCCAGGACATGCCAGGCACCCTGCATTCCTGTCCTCTAATATTCTTTTCACTAAAGTCCTACTTTCTCTAGTCAAATGCCAGTGTCTTCTCGATACCCAGAATTATCTGGATCTCTGGGTCACTTGGCTAAGCTTCAATCATCCAATGACATAAGTTGGTCTTGGTTCTGGCCACTCCCATACTGCTGACTCTGGTGTCAGGGGGAGGGCCACCTGAGAAACAGGAACCCCAGGAAAAAGATGGGGCCTGTTGCCACCAAATCAGCTTCCTGCCAGGGCAGGCTGGTACCTAGACCTGTGACTAGGAACTGAAGCCAACAGCCAGGTAATTCCATTACTCCTTTGTGGTTTAGGACTGTAAGCACGAAGGAGGCAAAGGCAGAGGAATGGAAGAACCAGGGCTTGCTTAGAGATAGAGTGCATCTGGATTCATCCAGGAAAGCAGGAACGGAGTCCCATTCAGGGGTAGGAGGAGTCTGTGAATAGGTCACTGAGGAAGGATTGGGAAAAGGGTGTGAGCACAAGAGGTGAGAGGTGAGGGGTGAATTGTCTCCCCCCACCCCAGGTTGGAGCAGACATGGCACTTAGTAAAGAGAATGGAGGCTGCCCCTTCTTCAAAGAAGAACATTGTAAGGATGGGCCTCACACACTGATCTGTACCAGAAAACTCATTGACAAGAGCATTCATGTGGGCCCACACATCCTGTGGCCTCTCCCAGCCCAGAATCAGCCAGGCCAATGATGGAGATAGGCAAGCCCATTCCTGTGATACAAAGGATTCCCCTGGGGCCTGTTTTGTTTCCCTAAAGGTCTCACCAACTCTTTCTAGTAGACTGTACTACAGTCATTCATCCAATCTCCCCTCCCCAAACCCATGTATTCTCTAAGGGTCATGACACACATCATGGTGGTCAGCCCTGGGCCTAACTGGGCCCCCTCCCTCTGTTCTCTCACAGTGTTTTCCTCCCTGAAAGCCATGCCACTTGTCCATTCTCATGTCTATATTTCACAAGATCCCGCTTCACACATAACTCCACTGGGCCTTTGGAATGATCGATTACTGTGGGTTAGAACTTGTTAGCAGGGCCAGATATGAGCCTGCAACATTACTCAGAAGGAAAGAGTAAGTAACAAGAAAAAGCTGGGGAGAGAGATGGTCCCAGGATGGGGACATTCTGAGTACACTTTGAACAGGTTTGTCTGCTTTTCTTTCAGAAAAGCGCAGTCTCCCTGTAATGAGGGAGATGGGGTGATGTTTCGGATGCCACCTGGTGGCCAAGGCAGGTAAAGCACTTTTGTAGCCTCTGTTGGTCTGTGTCTCAGGTGGAGAGGAAAAGAGTGGAGAATTTGATTGGGTTTTGGGGGTCCTCTTCCTCCCTGTCATACAGCATACATTGGAGGAATCCTTACTACCAAAATTAATGCTTAAACTTTCCTCCTTTAAAACCAGCACCATAGTTTCATCTACATCTATGATATGCTACTCCTGAATTAACTGGTCCATCTTTTTGTCAGACTATTTTTCATAAAGTAGAACTTTGATTTCATTTCTCTGTTCAGAAATTATTTTTGTCTTTCTATTGCATAATGAGTCAACAACTGGCATTTCAGGCCTTCCATCTTTGCTCCCAGCTCTTGTAGGAGTCTCACTTCTGATTCTTTAGCCAAGGTGGAACTGGCCTTCTGGAAAGGTCTGTAGTCCTCCTCACTGTCTGCTCTTGTTTGTGCTGCTTTTCCTGGATGCAAACAGAGAGGAAGCCAGTATCTTGACTATGAAAATACTGATTGCAAAGACTGATTTCACCAGAGTTGTCTCTCTGATCTTCCATTTCTTTGCCTGTAAAGCAGAGATTAGAAAAACCCCACCCCAGAAGATCCCGTGAGGATTAACTAATCTCATGCACTGTAAAATGTCTGGCCTTTGGAGAGTTAATAAATGGCAACTACACTTTATTTTTGTTTCTTCAAACATCACCCGCCGTTCAAAGTACACTCAATGGCCATTTCCTTCCAAATTCCCTTCCTGACCCTCCCACTTCCTGGCCCAATCATTCTCCTTCCTCTGCACCACTCTGAGCCTCTGTCCCTCAAGCTGCTGTTCCCACACTTGTCACACAGTCCACCCATACTCCTCCCAGCTGGGATCTCTATGGAAGTGGCCATCAGTACAGTGTCTTGGTGCCACACGGGTGGCTTCCATGTCAAGGATGGAAGTGGAGAGCTGGTGCCGTAAAGACCAGCAGCCAGGAATTGCTCTGAGTCTGGGATCAAAATGAGCCTCAAGTCTCAGAGCTACTGACTAATGGCTTTTTGGAAATAATTGTTTTTCTAAATATGACAATACTCATGATCATTGCAGGTAAAAGAATGAACAAGATAAAAAGCACCTGTAATTGCATCAACCAGAGATGACCACCCATAATTTCTGATTAGCTTTACTCTCTGTATTCCTGTAAGTATAATATACACATAAAATTTACTTTCTGTTACATGGTAGGTGTGTATTCCAGCATCTTCTCCACAACTTGTGAGGAGCATTTTTACATTTCACTAAATATCATCCATCAACATTGTTATCTCTGCATATTTGCTCATTGTATGAGTATGCCATAATTTTTAAACTTTTTTATCATTGTATATTTAGGTGTCCCTTTTTTGGCTTTGAAAGAAATTGTTATCAAAGATGCTTACAGAAATATCAGAATGCTTCTTGGATTTGTGATTATGGGAATGAAGAAAAAAAGTTCTTGCTTCTGAATGCATGCTCAGGAAACTGTTACTTGCTGAGTGGTTTCACCAGCTGCTCTAGCTGTTTCATGAATGTCCATCTCTTTCCCAGGTTCTGAGGAGACAACCCAGCTTAGAAATGGAAAAGTGGTTGGATCTGTGTTTGCAAGAATGGATGGGCTGCAGAGGTCACATTCCAGTGACCGTGTGGGCTCTGGGTGCTGCGTACACTTTCTTGCAGTGCTATAGCTATCTGATCTCTTTGTTCCATCTTGTAACTTAGTTTGTTCCTCTATGCTTATTAGCAATAAAATATTTTTGACTCTCAGAAAACCTTGTTTGTTGCAGGGACAAGAAACCAGAAAAGAAGTAGAAATCATCATTCCACTCCTGTAGCTGCAGAAAGTGGCTGTCCTGTTGTGTGTCCTCAGAGCTCCCTGTGTCTCTCCCTCACAGTACTTTGTGTGACTACATGACATAAATTACTTGTGTACGTGTCACCTTCCCTATCACAATCTAAGTTCCGCACAGCAGGGCCACATGGTCTTGTTTGCAGCTTTGTCTCTGGAGCTAAGCATCAGACTGGACTTACCGCTGGTGCTCAGTACGTAGTTCGGCTATGAATTCAGACTGAATGAGGACTCCACTTGGAAGGATGTGTGTCACATCCAGTCATAGGGCCATCGGAGACTGGGACAGGAAGATGTCTTGAGTGACAACTCTGAGACTCTGAAATGGTGCTGGCAGAGTGTACTCAAAAGGATGTCCTAGAGCTCCAATCTGTCCTATTCACGGGCTTTGGACATACAGCCAGCTGTGCCAGGGTTGGAAGTGGGTGTTGGTGACTGGTTCTGCAAGTAAGAAGAATCACCTTCTATAGAGTGCTCTTCCCCAGGCCCTGTGGACATTCTCTTTCTCTTGCATGCTTTTCTTAACTCTCTGGTCCGGATGCCTTGCATCTGCCTTTCAAATGCACATGGAGCCCTTTCCATCCCCACTCCACCAAGTCTAACATCAGAAATCCTCATTTCTGCATTTCTGTAGGAGAAGCTATAGGAAGAGCTGACAGTTCTAGCTGCATCAGGCAGGAACTCTGCTGAGAAGTGATAGTGCTGATGGATTACTTGGGTGTTCATGAGCACGTGGCATCTCATCACACTCAGCAGGGAGGCAGGATCATGGCCACAGAACAAGTTTCCATGGACTCAGGGAACTGAAGACTTACTTCCTTATTTCTGTTGCTGGCATCATCTGTCTCCCACATTGGTTTGATTGGTTCCCCAATCTGTGGAAATCTTCCATAGAAGACATGGACAGATAGATGTGGATATCCAGGAGAATCCTCTAGAAATGGAAAGGAAGCTGTAGATCTCATTCAAAAAGAATCCCTTTGGGGACATGGAAAATGCAAAATGTATTCAACAGGACTTGTGAAATAGGGGCAATGATGGGAGGGAAGGAGGAGGATAAAGTGAGTCATTTTGATGAGTAGATGGGACTCTTCCAGCCTATTTTCTTGGTTTCCTAGGTAGGGAGAGCTGCCACAGGACTTCATAAACCACAACTTTCCAATGAGTGTGGTTGGTTCATTTTGATGTATTGAGCAGCAGGGGCTTGTGGAAGTCCTGGAGAGGTAAGCAGCCTGGTGTCTATGGCATAGAAACAGGTGGGGAAGATGGCCTTGTATGTAGACCACTCTGACCTGCCTGCTTGATCTGCCATGTTTGGAGCTGCGAACTTGGGCATGCTGATTTTAGTCTTCTTTCTGCACAGATGACTAGGGGTGTGTTGATGAAACTCAGTCTTATGCCCAGGGTTCTTTCTATGGACAAGATATTTCCCATGTCTCCCATTAACACTCTGCCATAGTGAGCCCTGGTTATAGGAAGTGTGTCCTGCTGTCTGTGCTAATTGGGGTGAAGGGTTAAGAGTGAATATGTCAAAACAGGAGATGGTTTGAAGTTTGCCATTTCCTGCAGAAGCTGAACTGTGCATCTCCCCAGGGTTCCTTTTCCTAGAATATGGAAGGGAACTTGTCCCAGGGGTTCTTGAAAACTTCTAGGAGGATGAACCATAAGTTTCCCTCTTACAGACTCTGCTATCCCTGGGCAATTGTCAGGATCTAGTACAGCTGGTAACTCAGAAGAAGCTGGTTGGGATGGCCATGGTGTGAAAAAGGATACACATGGGCTATGGAAATAAGGTGGTCCTCCTCCCAGTGTCTAAATGAGGATAACATGTCACCAATATATCGCAGCAAAGGAATGGGACCAATTCATCAGGTGGGCTAACTGGCATCCTGTTGAAGGGGTGCTTTTGGTTCTGATGGGCCAAAGTTCTGTGACATCATTATAAAGTCCTCCAGGAGGTGCTCTCATTCAAAGACTCCTTTCCATTTCTTTCCAGACCAGTGGTCACCATTCCATTCTGCTGGTTTTAGCTTCTGGAAATGGAACTATAGATGTGGACAGTTCTGGACCCGTGTCCCCCCGACACAATTTACCACAAACTGCAGTGTGTGGACTGCACAAGAATGGATGCTCTGGGAAAATAATGAAAATAGTTTTGTGCATTAGAGAACATGGTTTATAAAGCTTTCTGCAATTTGCTATTTAGACTTAACAGCCCTTCAGGTCTTTAGGGAAGGTGCCATTATTGCCACTTTGCAGATAGGTCAACCAGTTTCAAAAACAACTTCTCCAGAACCATATCACTTGTAAGTTACTGAGCTAACAATCTAATTCAAAGACAGGTATTTAATTCAAGTTCAGATTCAAGGCTCTTAGATTTTGCTGACGTTGTCAAGAGGTTGCCTGAGCCTCTGATCCCCTCTGTTTGCCATTTTAATAGAAAAGTCAAGTGCCTGCAGACTCCAGAGGATGTGGAGAAGTATTGGACACAAAATCATCAGGAGATTCCACTTGATTACCACATTTGCAATTTCTGGAGTAAGGTTGGATATCATCAGAATTCAGAGGACTTGCTGAGATTTCTCAAGCCATGTTGCATAACCTGTGTCCTGTGGCATGTGGGCTGATCCACACACAAGGGGCATGTGCAGCACTGGGCAGGGAAGAGCAACAGGATGTATCCCAGTTAAATAACCATGAGTAAAGCAGTCTGTCCTGGCCTTGAATTCTCAGAATGGGGAGACTTGTCACATGATGAACCTCCCCAAGTCCATTCAAAGCACTGCTGATCACAGGCCTTTTCCAGAATTCCAAATTCCCCAAAGGGAACAAGAAAACACCTGTTGCCTCTTTCCCTGCTGCTCAGAATCACATTGTTGGCTTCCTGTTTCTCCCCTCTGTCTCAAAGTCCAGTGTTACAAATCAGAGAGACGTCCTGGTGCTATTGTGGGTGAGAGGCAGCAGTTCCCCTTACCTTCCCACCAAGTTGATCTAACATAAGATGATTGGCACTGGTGCAGTTTCTCATCCTTTTCCCCCAAACAAAACACGCACTTTGGCCACTTTGGCTCGGCACAGTGGCGCATGCCTGAAATCCCAGTAGCTCGGGAGGCTGAGGCAGGAGGATGGCAAGTTCAAAGCCAGTCTCAGCAGCGGTGGGACGCTAAGCAACTCAGTGAAACCCTGTATCTAAATAAAATACAAAATAGGGCTGGGGATGTGGTTCAGTGGCTGGGTGCCCCTGAGTTTAATCCCCAGTACTCCCCCCGCCCCCCCAAAAATAAATAAATAAACAGGCACTTTGGAGTGTGTCTCACTGGCTGGTAAATGAAGCATGGGCACTGACCTATCTAAAAAGGTTCACTGACTGACCCATTCCAGTATAAACAGAAAGTTTACTTCCTTTATAGTGTTTGGGACTGAGGCAGAAGTTTCATGCATCCAACAGCCACTTTTTGAATCTTGTTTTAGAACACCTAGAAGGGGCAAATTGAATTTTCAAGGTATTCAGCACAGTCCTTAATCCCTTGTCTAGGATCAAGATCTCTTTATGGCAGACTCAGGGAATGCCCACCCCCAGCCCACCTCAGACCAATGAAAAAAAGGACCCCTTTGGACTAAGACAAAAATACCTCTCAAGAGAAATAAAAAAGGCCAAGCCAGCTCTTGGTCTTATGGGGTTTGAAGCCAGACCAGAAAATTTTTAGGAATTAAAAGGTGAATTGGTCTTCAAGGCTATGGGAATGAGATAACATGCCAGGAGATGGGAGGCTAGGGAACACAGCTCAGCTTCTGACACTGTGTAGTCTATAGAAGTCCCAACTAAAGCCACACACAGCAGGGTCTGCACTATTCTGAAAATAATAATGTCAGAGACTTTATAAGATGATAAGAGGCAACTCCAAGTGGTGAGGGTCAAATCATGCATAGTCACCATGGTAACCACATTTACCTTTACCTTATTATCATATAAAGATGCTCACCCCTATACAGAGGCTTAAGATAGTAATGAGACATGTGTCACATGAAGAAGCATGATAGAGAAAAGCGCAGGTGTGACAGAAGTCCCACCTCTACCTGAGATGACATCAACAGGCCCAGGCTCTGCCCACCCCAGAGATGCCATAAAATCTAATCCACTTTTGTCTTTCTTAGAGCCAGGCTCACCCCTCCCTCTCAGTGATGTGACTCCCTTCTGGCTTTGAGCAGAGGTCCCTTATGAAGCCTTTCCTGTACTTAAATTCTTTCTGGGTCCAGTGTTTGTTTCTACAGCTCTGAATCCAACAACCTGAGTTTGCTTAACACTTATGGGGACACTCAAATACTAGAGACTTTGATGTCGATGGAGACCCTAAGATCTGACTGCAGGGGCTCCCCTTGACTTATCCTAATCCCGGCTATGGGTGTGGGTGAGTAGGGGAGTGCCCTTCTCCACTAATTAAGGGACAGCTCAAGGGGAGACCTTGAAGGAGTCCATTGGCTGATCCTGGTAGGGAGGCTGCACCTCTCAGTCCCTGGCTGTGTTAGGCAGCTTTTTGTCACTGTGAACAAAATTCCTGACCAGAACAACCTAAGGGAGGAAAAGTTTATTTTGGCTTAGAGTTTCAGAGAGTAAGCTCCTAGGGTACCTCTTGTCCTGGGACCAAGGTGAAGCAGAAAGTCAAGGTGGAAGGGTATGGTGGAGGAGGTCTTCTCTGTTCTTGGCAGCCAAGAAGCAGAAAGAGGGAGGGGAAGGGGCCTCAGGGAAAGTGAACCTTTCCAGGACACACCCCAGTGAGCCACCTCCTCCAGGCATGCTCCGCTTGCCTACAGTTACCACCCAATCCTCCAAAGTAGGATGGACTGATTAGGTCACAGCTCTCACAACCCAGTCATTTCATCTCTGAACGCTCCTGCATTAACACAGGAGCTTTTGGGGGACACCTCATATCCAAACCATAACACTGACCTTGCTCCCACCCTAATCCATGTTGGCCCTTTGAGGGGCTTTTAGTGGAAATTAGCTCAAAACTACAATGGATTCCAGCAGCCTCAGATCCTCCCACTGCCCTTTCATCACCTCTTCCACTTGGACTCAGCCTCCCCAGCCACCACCTGCTCCCTGAGAATTCTCCTCTTAACCCAGCCCTGCTTGTGCTCTACCTGCACATGACCTTCCCCTTCCCATCTCTCCCCTCTTCTAACCCCTGACCCCAGTTCCCTCATAAGCCCCTTCCTTCCTGTCCCTCAAGACTTGCAAAGAGAGAGAAAGTTTCCCTGACAGGATTCATGGTCATCCCCACACTCTGTCCTCTCCTCTCCCCGCCCCCAGGAGGCCACAGATTCCCTACCTAGGAAGGACTCAGAAGCTTAGTGGGAGCTACTGCTCTTAGACTCCCTTTCCTTGGCTCTCTTCTGGCTAGGCCAGGCTGTGCCTTTGTTCCCTGTTTCTCCAGATAAAAATCTCAGTGTCCATCTGTGACTTGCCCATGTTAGAACCTGGGCCTAAGACACAGAGATCAGTCTCATGATCCAACAGAGAGGGCACCTGGCACAGTCATCCCTTGGGATCCCAGAAAGTTATGTGGAAGTTAGGTTGAGGGAGGACACAGCTGTGATGAGATCCTGGAACAGGTGCCTCCCTTTCATGACATCTGTGGGGTAGGGTCCACCTGTGCGAGCAGACTACATCCTGGGAACTCTGTATATATATCAACATTCAGCTCCTGTTTTCTGCTTTTTCAGCCTAAGGTATTTTTTTGACAAAGAACTTGTCACTGAGTTCAGTGGACGAAGGCAGGTTGTTAGAAAAGCTGTTGGTGAAAGTGGTTTTGCCCAGAGTAGTAACAGAAATGCAGGTTTTTAAATTCAAGTTCCTGACACTGACTCAGCAGCCATTGTCTTCTGCCAGAAGATGGAAGTTTTTAACCCTCCTGGAAAGACTGGAAGATCATTCCTTTCCGTTTGGGAAAATCGTTTGGTGGGTTTTTTATGGTTACTTATCATACTTTAAGCAGCGTGGGGTGGCACATGCCTATAATCCCAACCACTTGGGAGGCTGAAATAGGAGGATGGCAAGTTCAAGACCAGCCTCAGCAACTTAATGAGGCCCAGACTCAAAAAATACAAAGGGCTGGGGGTATCGCTCAGTGGTAAAGTGACCCTGGGTTAAGTCCTCAAAAACAGAAAAAAATAAGTTATCATACTTTATCTGAATCATGTATCTTTCATTCTTTCCTCAAGGCTTAATTAATATTGCCTAAAGTTGTTGAAAAAGTGACTTCATGCATTCGAGGTGGCACTTTCAGGTATGAACAAGCTGAGATGTGTACAGACTTGCAAAGTTTACCTTACAAGGTTCCTTAGCCTCAGTTTGACATTGGTTTTCCTCATCTAGCTGAAGATGGTGTGATGACAGGATGTGGCCCATACAGGCGTGGGTATTGCCCCATAAACAGGACACGAGAAATCATCATCAGTATAGAGTGTGGCCTGAGTGAGTTCCTCAGCATGGGGGAGGGGTTGGAGAGAAAACAAGGAGTGGTGGCAGCGATCTGGGATCTGACTCTCTGCAGGAACCCCTGATCCATGACTCTGTAGGGGGAGAAAGAAAACAATTATGGAGGCTCGGAGATCAGATCCCTGAGAAGAGGGTAAGAATGAAGGGTGTGGTGGGATCACAGGGGAAAGCCCACCACACACAGGCAGCTCGGGCAGCTTCTGGGAGGCTCTAGCTGTGCACCCAAGCTGGGGAGGTTTGGTCTCTTAAGCTCAGAGAAGTAAGTGGAAAGAGCCTTTGTTAGATAGAATCAAAGGACTGTAGGTGATATGAAGTTGGGCCACGTAGAGGCTACTAGGCTATATAGATGAGGGTAAAAGCCTTATATTTAGCTCCTTCCTTCCTTTAAAAGTTGCATGGCAAGAGGGGTTTGCTCTGTTCCCTGGAGCTGCCTGTGTAGTTGTGTGTGTGTGTGTGTGTGTGTGAGTGGGTGTGTGTGGTGACTAACCTCAACCCAGTTGTGGTGCCTCCTTACTAGATGACTCATTCTCAGCAGGTTGGGTGATTTGAAGATACATAAATCTTTGGAAAGTGAGATGTGAAGTTTTCATAACAGCGGTGTTATAGGAAATGTCATCATCTCTGTGAATCTTTCCCACTGTGTGGTGCCGCAGTCTGGCTGCAGCAAAAAATAAACGAGCCACCACAAAAACTTGTAGGTTCCAACAGCAAGTCTTTATTCCCGACTCTCACCGGCCCTCTACACGCATGTTCTGGGAAAATCCACACACTCCACCGGGCTCTGCATAACAAATACTCTCTGAACTCAAGGGAACTCCAGGAGCAGGCGCCTGAGGCAGCAGGATACGCCCTATTCCCAGGAGGATCCACCCTAAACCTGGAGCCACCCTAATCCAGCAGGATCCACCCTAAACCTGGAGCCACCCTAATCCAGCAGGATCCACCCTAAACCTGGAGCCACCCTAATCCCTGAGCAGGGTCACCTTAACCAAAAATGCCATGTCATTCCTACTTGGCTATGGCTCTCAGCAGTGTGGGCCCTGGGGACTGGATAGATGCACTTGCTTCTGCTGTGTGCTGTGGGGACTCACTGTGCTGGGCAGAGGGGGCTGCTCTGGGGGCTTCCCTCCTATATACAGCACAGTGCAGAGGAGACTGTGTGGGAACCAGGCCAGGGTTCACATTGTGGGCTACTGGATTTCTTTCAACACACGATTGTCAGAGACTCATTTGTTCCTCTCCTTCTTCACATCCCATGACCCCCAGGCAGAGCCTTTCTCTGCAGGTGACGAGGAGACATCTGTAGTTCCACACCAGCTTTGGAGCATGTTGGGAGTTTTCTAGCTCCACAGGGTTATCACAAACCATTTCTGGCTCCTCTGTGGCTAGAAGTAGGGAGGTAGGATCCTTCAGCCCAGACATCCCATCTTTCTATGGTCCCCAGTTCCTGAAAGCTCAATGCACTCATGAGTACCCGAGGTCTGTGACTTGCCAAAGTTAAGTCACAGACTCAGTTCAGTAATTACAGATTCCTGGAGTGGCCAGAAGCTTTGCGGTTCAAAGTGTAAGGGTCCCGCGAAACGTCGGAGAAAGAGACCACCAAGTGACCACTCATGCAATTGGCAGAAGGGGGATTTATTGAACCAGCATGCTGGGGCTCTGTGCCCACTCAAGAAGGGAAAGCAGCCCAGAGCCCCGAGCAGGGGCTGAGCACTGCTTAAGTACACTTTTTGGGGAGGGCGGAGGGCTTTGTATACATCAGAACAAATCA